AATAGTAATTTGTTCCTGCATTGAATGAAATACTAGTTGAAATATTTATTTATTACTGTGTTAATTGAAATTCTAGTTAAAATAATCGTTTATTAATGTACTAAATTAAGTACTAGTTTAAATAGTTATTCATTTCTGTATTAAATGAGATACCAGTTGAAATATCTATTTATTACTGTGTTCATTGAAATGCTAGTTAAAATAATCATTTATTAATGTACTAAATTAAGTACTAGTTTAAATATTTATTTCTGTATTAAATGAGATATTAGTCGAACCACTTCGTCGACTTTATAAATACATGATAACCAGACTGCAGATTTTTGTGCAAAATGAAAATCTGCATCAGTTAATTGTCAGAAATAGAAATTACATAGTAAATTGATTCTTTCTTCGATGATCTTAATGCATGGAAAATAAGACATTGTCTCATTTCTAAATTCTTTTAAACTCTCTTCTATTTCATAATTGCAACCACCCATTTCTTTCATAAATTCGTAAAATCCGTAAAATCCGCAATCTACTAATGATTAAATAAAATATATATTTTACAGTGTGAACCAGAAATATACTCGATACGGACCAGAGCACATTTCATTAACTAATTCCAATACTTTCTCGAATACTTTTACCCGTGTCCGATTACGAGCCAGAGATAACCCCCCTCCTCGAAGACGCGGACGTGGCATTGCTTTTCCATTGCCGACGGCTGCTCTCGATGAATTTGAATCGCGTCTTAAGACGCCCGCGTCCGGAAACGAGTGCCTCTCGCTCGCTGTAGCACCACTGTTTACTGAAATTGAGGCGCCGGCGGAGGGTGGGCCGCGCACCCTCTCCGCAACTTTGTGCAGTCGTTCGGATCCTTATTCGATGAAATGGATGCCCGGGACGACGGCCTGGAAACAGACAATCCGGCGGGGATTCGTGACTTCGCATTATATTTTATTGACATATTGTTGACCGGACGATGGCGAACGGAGCTTCCACGGGACGGTAAACATTTTCGCAATAATATAGAAAAGAATTAATCGCGTCGGCGGATGTCCGCAATTTTCGTTTGAAACATTTTTCTGTAGAGTCGATTCTCAGAAACGGTTTCCGAGCAAATAATTTAGGCGATATCGGTGAAAATAATTCGACGGAGCGTTTTTAAATTCCTCCAATATTTTCACTGTTTATTATATAAATGGTTCACTATTGATTACATAAATACTTCATTATTTATTACATAAATACTTCACCATTTTTATAATAAATAGTTCACTATTTATTATATATATAAATGGTTCGCTATTTATTACATAAATAATTCTCTATTTACTATATAAATGGTTCACTATTTGTTATATAAATGGTCCACTATTTATTATTTAACTTACTATTACATAGTAGTAATCCCAAGTTTCTTAAACGGTTTCCGAGTAACTCAGGTGTCAAACCTTCGCGAACCTGTATAATTTAAAACTTATTAAAACTCTGAAAGGCTAATTAAATCTCTAAAGACTGGCACGAAGTCCATTGCCACCGGTATAAATCAATATGCATATCAAATTGAATTTTCTAGCTCTTTAAGGCATCAAACAGAAGGCCACAGTTCATCAACGGGCAAGAATGCGAAATGTATTGCTTTCCAGTAAATCGGGCTTTATCGATCTCACTGTAATCGCATCGTCATTTCCGGCATTTCATAAGTCCGACAATGAGGCGCACACGCTTGAGACGCCGATGAATAAACCGTGGAAGCTGTGTTCTTTTATCAAGCAGCAGAAAGAGATTGGATTTAAACGAATGTTCCTTTTACTTGTCAATGTACTCTCTCTCTCTCTCCCTCTCTCTCCATCAAGAAAGATTGCAACGCGAGACTGCATTAAACACCAATAAATATTGCGTTTTATAAAAGTTTCGCGAACACTCGCGTCCAATATAAAGCTTCACAGTCCAGTGATGAATAAAAGAACCGAGTCAACGAACAATGAATCATGACTGTAGTCTATACAGTCGTGTCACACAGCGCCGAGTCGCAACAATAGACTTTAAACGCCGAGCGACTGGTTCTATAGTCGCTGACCGACGCGAAATATGCTGTTTATTATTGATAAATCGCGCGCGGCCAGTCAAATTAGTCGAAAATTTGGTGGATTAATCGTTTTCTGTTCCGCGGCCATTTCGACTGCGGCTTTTGTTCCGCCTCGATTGTGTTAAAATCAAAAAATGGTGTAAATCTTCCGTTGAAACTTCTCAACTTCTCTAATTCTCAACTTCGAGAATTACTCGAATAAAGAATGATTTGAATAAATAGATAGAGTAAAGAATTATTCGAATCATGGATTATTCGAATCACGAATTATTCGAATCACGAATTATTCGAATGAAGAGTTATTCGAATCACGAATTATTCGAATCACGAGTTATTCAAATCACGAATTATTCGAATAAAGAATGGTTTGAATAAAATGGTAGAATAAAGAATTATTCGTATAAAATTACCTTAGATTAAATATTAATTCCAAACAATCGAAATATGAATTACAGCTCTCTTTCTGAATGTAAAATAATACTAAAAGTAACACTTATTCCGGATCACAGAGTTACCGCAATCGAATGAATAGTAACTAGAAAATGTTGGAAAATTCGATTGCGGAATTAATAAATCCTTCGTAATCGTCGAATAATCGCGCGCTGGTACGTCGCGCAACGAAAAATATTGATTAAAAATGCACCGTGTGCATTATTCCCTTTCCCTGCGGGACGGTTCCCTCGGGCGCCATTGATCAGTTCCTCATTATGTAAAACGGCGGAACAAGAGTAAATTGCGAATTGTAATTTACAACCGTCCCCTTGGCGGCGCAAGAAGCTTTTCGAGTATCGATCGGTGATCGCCGGAAGCGATTTTTTTCTCCATTTGCGCTGGTGATCTCGGAAACGCGGGAACGCACGCACGGCGCGCGCTCATTTTCCATTAATATTGAATAGTCCCGAGGCGCGTGCACTGCGCTCTGATTTATTGACTGTCGATAAACTCGACGAAGCTCTGTTCGCAATACTTTTCTCGCGACACGCGATGACATTATGGGAATTTTCCCATAGAACGCTGTAAAATCCGCGCGGTCGACTGTTTACTTATCCATCTGCGCGCTCGTAATAAAATTGTAAGAAAAATGACGGAAGAGAGAAAAATATATTTCTATCTTTATATTTCTATTATTTCTATTATTTATTCCTATTGATATTTCTATTATCCTTTCCGTTGTTGTAACAGGAATTTATTTCATTTAATTTCTGCAAATTGATTAATCAAGCGACGATTAAAAGTACCCCGGGTCAAAATGACCCGGTTACCGCAGTCCGAAGATGTTTTTTAATGTAGTTTCCGAATTTTGACACGCTTGCAGCTCGATAGAAGTGTAGCAGAATTCCTGTCGAC